AGCCTTCAAATCTTTTTGAAGTGCCTCATCGCTTACAGCCAAACTGGTCCTTGCATTCTTGTCCACTGCCCCAAAGCCAGACTCTTTTCTTTCCTACCTTCTTTCCTCCATTCCCCTTGAGCTCCATGGCCTTTAGAAAAAGTCCACCCTACCCTCCTAGGACACATACACTGATGCAACATGGACCAGGCCTTGGCCAAACATCTAGCAGAGACGAGCTGCCATCCACTTGCCTCCTTTGAGCAAGAGGTATTCAGCAGACTGAGAGGAAACATATTCTCAGCCGGCAAGTGTTCATCACCCAGCACGCAACTAAATACAGGGTGCTCGATGCAGTTTAAAAGTCTGCCCATCTGCCTTTAGAAGACGGCTTCATTCCAGATCAATTAAGAGCTCAGAGAACATCTTTAAAGGATGCAGAACATGACAACCCTCTGATCAGTGCCAGCTCACCGTGGTTCAGGACCCCACTGGGCAGACAAAGAAGTGCCTATGGCCACGACTATGGAGCTGCTGTGCCTTTGAAGCCACATCGGGGTTCCAGCCTGCCTAGAGCCCCATCTGAACACAGTCAAGTCCTAAGAGGGATCAGATCATTCCCATCTTCAGAAATTTTCTTCTTTAAGACCGGGTTTGCTAGCAAACATGAGAAAAGTACTGCCATACAGAAACATAGAGCTCACCACCAGGACGTGGAAGCATTTCCAGAACAAAATCAACCTTTTGGGGTTTTTTTCACTTCAAAGAAAAGTTGACTCAGCAAATATTTCCTCTGCTAGCATTTCAACCAGATGTTCCAGCAGAAGTCAGCACACATCTGGCATGCTGCAGTGCCACTGCCAGAAAGATCACAGCTTCACTGAACAACGGAAATGGAGGAACAAGGACCAGCAGTCCAGGCACCGAGCACTTCTGAAAAGGAAAAAAGCACTTCTGCAAAGGATCTGCATGGGCCTCCAGGCCTCACAGGTCTTTGCCCAGTGCTCTTTCCAAACAGCATCTACAGGCAAAGGAAGACAGTGCCCTGCAGCCCATAAAACTTACCACTAGCCCGTAAAAACCTAGATGTCAAACATTATGTTTCGCCATCTGAGATTTTTCTGTGACTGTGAGCCCAACAGCAGTGTGTTCCTCCCAGTGTTGTAGGACATGATCCTGCTCAGCAAGAGAAACAACAGGAGGAGTGTACATGCTTGGAGTTGCACAGAAACTCCAGCAACCGTAGAGTGGAGTGCGCTGGTAGGAAAGGCAGCAGACAGCCCTCACAGGCTGGTCTGCACATACCAGCTGTGGGATGTAGTGGCCTGCTGGCAGCTAGCTGAATGCCGTGGCAGGTTCACAGGGCCCTGTGGCTTCAAACCAGGGCCCAAGCTAAGCACGCACTCCCCCGCCAGAAACAGCCTTCCCAGGAGGCTGCCAAGGCGCGGTGCAATCACGGTGCTAATCAGCTAAGTAAGCGTTGCTTTTCGTGCTTATCAGCTGTAAATTGGACAATACTTACCGCCTGGCAGCACGGCTCAGCCACACCTCCAGATATGGAAGGGCAGAAGCGCTATAGATATCTTTCCCTCAGAGATAGTATCCTACCCAGGTGCTAAACTAAGATTGCTCTTGATTTTGCAGCAGAAACTGGAAAGTAATCTCCACAACTGTGCACAGTGAGACAGCAGGGACTGCAAATGGCTACAAGCAGCACGCAGGACCCTCCCCACCTGCAGGGCTCCCAAGCAAAGAAAACAAAGTGGTCTGTTATGGGGCAGCCGTGGGACCTTTCAAAGCCAGGCTGGAAACCAGTTCACAGCCCCTGCGGCTCTCATGCCACAGCCAAGACCTTGGGCTCCTTAGACAAGGGAATCGGTGCTAAGAGGCCAATGGGGAGAAACACCATGAAGCAGAGCGAGGGAAGGTGGGCCTGGGCTTTGTGGCTGGAGTTGGACAATGTGAAAGGCAGCAGCCAGGAAAACCAACGGGCCGCAGAGCTAGGACAGGGCAGGGACGCTGGCTCACACCCTACACGGCAAGGAGGGTGGCACGGGGGGCGGGGAAGAGGGCTCATCCAGATGCGCTCAGCAAGGGACAAAACCCCTCCAGCAGCCGGGAGGTCAATCTCCACGGGTGGAACCCCCTCGCGTGCCCGCTGTTTGTTCTCCGAGTTTTGATCTGAGCACATTTCATAGGAAAACCACCCACCACTGCACGCAAACAGCCTTCCCAGACTCAGCTTTCCCCGCGGAGTCCGAAGGGGCGCGGGTCGGGGCCAAGCCTCGCTAGAGGGGTCTCCGGGAGTCCTCCCCAGAGCGCGGCTGCTCCGGGAACGCCCGCTCGCCATCTCCCAGGCGGCAAATGTCTGGCGCATTTGCATCCCTGTGGATTTAGGCACGACGCTCCCCCCTAGGAGCGGGCGGGCAGGGCGAGCCGGCGCACGCCGGGGAAGGAGAGCCGGGCGAGGCGCCCCGGCGGCTCCCGGGGCTGCGCGGGGCGGGGGCGCGGCCGCCCCCGGGATGGAACACACAGGGCCCCACGCAGCCCCCCTCCCCAGCCCGAGGGGGCACGGACCACCGGAGGCTCGGCCCCGGGGACGGCCGCACCTCCTTCAGCCTCGGAGGCGGCGGCAGCCGCAAGGCCCCCCCGCCGGCCCCACCGCGGCCCAGCTACGGACGCGAGAGGGGGCACGAAGCCCCTCCGCCCCCACCCGGCCGCCGGGGCCCGCATTCCCGGGGCGGGGAAGGCTGCGGCGGCTGTCCCGGCCCGCACTCACCCAGCACCAGCAGCAGCAGCACCAGCAGCGCCCGCACCGCCGCCATCCTCCGCAGCCCTCGCCGGTCAGCGCGCCCGCCCGCCCCCAGCCATGCCGCCGCCGCCGCCCCGCCCGCCGCCAGGAGGGGTTCCGGGGGAGGGGCAGCCACCGGAAACCGGGTGGGGTCGGGAGGAGCGGAGTCCCGCGGGCGGCGCCGGGCTCAGACCGCCCCGTGCTGCCATCGCCGTGCCCCATGCGAGAGGCTCGCAGGCGCCGTCCCCGCCGAGCCTCCCCGGCACCGTAAGGGCCGCGCCGGGAGCCTCTGCGCGGCGTGAGCACCGCTCCTGCCGGACACGGCGTGCCCGGAGCAGCCAGGAGGAGACAGAGCTCCCTTCCTGCCCAGCGGCTCCTCGTAGTCGGGCTGTTAAATTGATGGCAGGAGCTCCGGTCTGTACCGCTGAGAGACCCTGTGAAGGCGCTGGGGCGGCAGGGAGCCAGGGGCTTCACACCCTGCTAGGGGCAGAGGGCGGGACACAGCCTCACGCACAAGAAAGGCACTGCCTGCCCCTTGCTGCTCCTCTGCGGGGCCCGAGCCGAGGCATTAGCCGGTCTGGCCATCTGCAGGGCTCAGGCTGCAGGCCTCTCTGCCCGACCCAGTGCCCCCGGTAAGAATGTGCTGCAGTCCTGCAACACGGGCTTGGGCAGCTGTAGCTCTGAACACCAGCTTTCCAGCCGGTTTGTTGAGCCTCCAAAATACTTAACTGCTTTTAGTCCTGCGTGGAAGACTCACCATCAGGCACACAGCATCCCCGTGAGCACTGCTGGATCCACCACAGAGGATGCTGAAGCCTTTACTCAGCAAAACCTGTGGCACACGATTGGAGAGTGCTGCTGCCCTGCCCAGCAGTGCCACCCTGGTGCTGCACCAGAAGCCTCCATTACCACCTCCTGGGAGACCACGGAGCTCCTCCCACAGGGCATGCAGCCGCGAAACTTTGCCGGTAACCACAGACCAGTCCCCTCTTGTAGGGAAGCCATCACCTCCTGCCACCAAAAGCTGTTCTGGTTGTGGTTGGGGACCGAGAAGCCTCAGAGGAAGTGGTACCCTATTCAACAAGGTCTAGAAAGGAAGTTTTATTTCAATCTGCAAGCTCAGGACAAGCAAAGCAGCTAATGTGTAGTAAGAGAAAGTGTCTCTCTCCCATACACACTGGCACTTTCTCTCCTACTGATACTGAGCCACCTGACCTAGCCTCACATAAGGGAATTGCGGCTTTTTTCCAGGAGGGAAAGTGAGTTCAGCACTGCTGACCCAGGTATCATGACTTGTCTGAGGAACATTTACCACATCAGCCCCAGAGCTGCAGGCTGTCACTTCATCTCCCCAGTCCCTATTGCCTTTAGTGCCCTAGGAACAAGAACTGCACCACAAGATACCCAGGAAACCACTGTCTGCCCTTGCTGTGCTTGCCTAGACTCTGCCTGAAGCTTCCTTGCTCCCTTGCACAGAAGGGTGTAACATGCTCAGCCCCACTCTCCCCACAGCCACCAGCTAGGCAGCCAGACTCCCTGCTGCCAGAAGGCAAGCCAGCCTGGAGAGGCCAGTGAACAGCACCTGACTAAAGAAAGGAGTGTCAGAAGCCACCTGTTCTGCAAAGGGAAGTGAGACCACAGAGTTGGCCCTGGCCTTCCCCCCATTTCTACCCTCCAGCTGCAACGTAAGGCCAAAGGGCCAGAGCCAGAGTTTCAGCAGCAGCAGCAGGCAGTGAGGCACACAGCACACATTCAGTCACAGCAGGAGGAAACGCCTTGGGAACTGGGTCAGAAGCAGTCACAAGCCCCTTAACACCAAGCCAGTTAAACACAGCCCTGCAGAAGTACATGTTTCTGCAGCCAACCAGCATGAGGTGCAGTCACATTAGAATTCTCATTCCCAAAGATCAGGAGCCCACATGCAGTACAGCCAAAGGACCCAACTTTTGCATGGAGAAAAATGAGGCTAGAGCAGACCCCACCCAACAGAAAACCACCTTACCTGCAGGGGAGTGTGCCCACAGTTGTTTGCAGCAACAAAAGCAGCATGTGCAGCAGTGCAGAGGCTGTGCTTGGCTTAACACATGGTCATAACCCAGGCAAACATTAGAGCCCTTCTAATTAGCCACAGCTTTGCAGCCTGGAGCATCTTCAGGAGGGAGACAGCAAGCCTCTTCCCAAGCCAACGCACGCACCCCACATCCCCATCATCAGTGATCTGTAGCTGCAGTGGTTTGAGCTGGGTTTATTTACTGTTGGCATTGCCAGCTTCCCCCAGGAAAGCATGACGGTGTTCACGGATGTGAAACTTACTGATCAATGCACAACACACAGTGGTGCCACAGCTGCTGCTGTCAGGACCTGTCCCTCTCAGCTTGCAGCAGGTCTGCAAAAGAGCACCCACAACAGATGGACAAAGGCTGCCAACGCCCCAGTCCTGGCTGACGACTGTTGAGTGACAGCCAGGGAGGCATCCAACAGTCCAAAGAGAGCCACCCCAGCAGGAAACATTGAGGATTTGCACCTGAATTCAAGCCCTTTCCCCCTTCAAACCCCACTGTCCCTGTAGCAGCGTTTCAGTGACTCTGTTCGGGATAGGAAGCCATTCTCACAGGAAGCAGGCCAGAGGCCATATAGAGCCCCACACCTTATACACATTCATTTGCCTTCTAGACACCATCAGCTTGTGATTCTGCCAATCACAAGCCCCACTAGCATGCCTGGCACAGCTCTGCAAGCCCAGCTCAGAGCTGAGAGGAGCACAGGTCAGGCTAGCACATTGCACAAGCCCCCATGGTCACTACCTTAACGAGCCCCCACCGCACGCTTCCCACCAGGAGCTTGCTGCAGAGATTGTCCCTGGTGCCAGCTCCAGCCTCAGCTGGCCCCTGTGGGGCAGGTGAAGTGCAGACCAGGCAGGATGTCTCCTGGCAGGACCCTTGCAGGGCAGGCTGCAAACCCACCCCACAGTCTCTTGGTCTGTCATTTTGTCAGGACGTGCTCCATCTGCTTTGGGTCAGAACTGCCATCTGCACCAGGTCCAGTCACGGGACGGTTTGTGGTCACAGAGGGGACTCACTCTGCTCGGCAGATGAACCAGATCTCATTGCGGCGCTGAGGGATGCTGGGATTTTCATAAGAAGCCACAATGTAGGTTTCCCGGAGCACAGTGTCTGTGGAGCCCAAGAGCTCCCAGAAGAGACTGATCTCCCGCAGAATTGTCTCTTCAGTGGTCATCCCATAGAAAACCCTGCAGCGAAGGAAGCAACGTAAGCAATGTAAGTAACAGAGCCAGCACATTCACCCTTCCCACAACCAGGGCTCCCATCCCTCTGCCCAAGGAACCACAGCAGCCATGCAGGGAGTTTGTACATCTCTGCTGAGCTGAGAAAACACCTCTGGTGCTGAGGTCACCTGGTTATAACCCGGAGCGGTGCCCTCTCAGTGATGTGGATTTCAGGGTCCATGGGAACAGGAGGGTTTTGCTGGAACTCTGCTGGGAGATAATAAGCAGTTACGACCTCACGCTCCAGCTCGGTCTCATCTTTGGTCAGGTGGATTTCATTGAGCACTGGGACTGTCATGCCCAGATAGCAACCTAGAAGGAGGCAGGAAGACAGTGAGACAGGTGGGTCAGAAGTGGCAGCCCTTCTCCCCACTTCAGATGGGACAGTGGCAAAGCCCTCCCTCTGTGCAGCCTGCCAGCCCCTCCAGCCGCTGCCTGCACACACCTACAGAGTTCTCTTTGCAGATGTAGCGCATGAGCTTCATGAAGCTCATGGAGATGCTCTGCTCATACATGGGCTCCCCCTTGGTGACACACGCCCACTTCCCAGCTGGGTACTGCCGCTCCTCATAGGCTGCTTCCTCGCACTGAAACAGGCCACAGAGAAGCCAAGTCAGAGTTAAGCGCGCTGACAACACTGCAGTACTTGGGTGGAAAACCAACACTGACAGGCAAGAAGCGGGGAGACACAACCCTGCCGAAACAAGCCCCTCTGCTAATCAGCTGGCAGAGAAGGACAAAGAAGGCAAGGAGAGCTGGCATCACGCATACTTCAGACAAGGATACTTAAGAGCACCGGGCAAAAGTCAGCAAAAGGAAAGGCACAGACAAAGGACAGGGCGCAAGGGGGTCTGGAGGCTCCTGGCATGCACAAGGAATGCAGTGCATCCTCTGTCCTGCCTACTCACAAGGATGTTCCTGATTCCAGGCACCCAAAGGCCTCCAGTAAGGCTGACGTTATTCTCAGGTACAGTGCCTTTTCCTTGGAACACTGTATGCACAGAAGATAACAAGCAAAAAGACTCCCACCTAGTAGAGGGGAAAATCTGGCAGAAGCGCTCTAGCATCCAGAAGAGCTGTGAAGACTGGAACAAAGCTCCTCTCAGATCCTTCCCCCATACCAAGAAGTGATAGGAAGGAGAAGAGACATGAACCCAGCTGGTGCAGAGAGGACAACTTCGTGGGATGGGTTAGAATCTCTGTTTCCAAGACAGAATGTCCAGTCTTCTGGACAAAGCCAACACAGAAGCGAGGCAAGAGGAGTGGGAAAATTGCAGCTGGATATGCTCATAGTTCAGCTCATGGCACGTCTGTGATCACAGGTAACACATAAAGAGATGCTGGGAAGTTGCACCTATCTTCCTGCTGTTCTCCTGTTCTTCAGCCAGATTAAAGTGTTCCACAGAGCTCAGCGTATCTTCTCAAACTTCTTGCTTCCACAGCTGTGCTGGCAGTGATTGAGCCAGGAAGCTGTGACCAGACTCAACAGTGAATGCAGCCTCCCTGTGCCTCCACCCACATCAGGCCTCTGAGAGCCAAACCAAAGGCAGAAGAAAGGCATCTGGCCTACTGGTGTGCATCAGTCAGATGCCAGTAAGAGTGCCCCAAAACACTGCAGGCCAGCCAGCATTCACCCTTTTAGCTGTGGCCATGCCAGCTACTGTCCCACCAAGCAAAGCAGAGCAGAGCAAAAGTATTTTCCAAGCAAGAAAACCACCAGTCCCTCTACACTGTTTGCAACTCTCATCTGCCAGATCATCTGCAAATAAACCCATCAACCCAGCAAGTCACAACAGCAGGGTATGCCACAGCCTGACTCTTATATTAAGCACCACCACTCCAGACAAGACTTGGCCAAAAGAAATATTGAAGGTGCTTCACACAGATCCAGTAGCAACAGGTCCCTGCAATGTGAGCTGGGGAATTTGACTGAGTACCAACAGAGCACAGCACTGTAGGTGGCATAGAAATTCACTTGCCTCTGAGAGGGCTTGTAGCACTGATAGCTCAGGAGAAGCAACAAATACTAATGACCTGCCTGAACCTGGGAAATGTGTCCCTAAGAGCCCAGCTCCAAAGTCCCCTCAGCATTAATGCCAGGAAGTGGCTCTTCTCATCCAACCTCAAACTCCAAGAATTCTCCCCAGGCACAGAAGATCTTCAGGCAACAAAAAAATCAGTTCCCACAAAGTCCTGGGGCCCCATTCCTGCCCTGGGATCAATGAAGGTGGAGAAGAGGCCAGATTAAGTCCCTGGGACCAGAAGAACAGGGAAAGAGGGAGTGTGGTGAAGCCCCAGTTCAGAGCTGCACAACCCACATGCTCAGACATGTTTTACAGGGAGTGCTGGACCTCAGCCCAGAAAAAATTGGTTAACCTCTCCTCATATAGAGGACAACTGACAGATGTCTTGGGTAGCAAGCCGAACCAGGCCTGCAGAGACACAGGAACCAGTCTTACAAGCAGTTGTTTCTCAAAGCTCAGAAGCACCCTTATGTGCAAGAGATGAGAGGAAGCGTGCAACTTGACCAGCATGGAGACGAGATTTTCAGGCCGAAGATACCGTGTTTGGATCGGCAGCTGTGACAACTAACAACACATGCTCAGGTCTGACGACGAGGGCCAGAGGCCCTGCGTTCCCCACAGAACCATATTTATCTTGTGGCAGCTGACAGCTCCAGCTCCACCAGCAGCCACATAACCAGCACAAACACAAAGCCAGCAGGACTTTGAGCTATGCAGTGAGGAGTTTTGAGCAAGGCAGGGAGCAGACTCGGAGATGAAAATTCGCTCTCTTGGATGTGCCCACCCCAGCAGAGGACAGGTTGGTAAAGGAGACAGCTGGAAGTCAGAAGACCAGAAAAAGCAGCAGGACTAGTCCAATTTTGAAATAAAGGCCGGGAAGTTGAGCACTGCCATTACTCTACAGAGGAGGAGATACAGGAACACCAGAATACTGCACCGATCCAGAGGTGCCATCCTGGGATGCTTCTGCGGGAACCTCTTGTGAGGCTGGTGCGCGCCTGTGATACAGGGCCACCTCCCCCGCCAGGGAGAGGCTCTTCCTGCTCCCCGGGCCGGCAGCGGCACCGGAGCCTGCCTCACCACGGGCGAACACCCGGGTGTGCGGGGAGGGTCCGGCCTCACCTTCCCGTGCTGCGAGAGGGACACGTACGGCACAGGCTCGCGAGCCTGGCTGTGCCGGGCCATCTGGGCGATCGGGCCTGCCATGTCTGCAAGGCAAAGCAACAGGAGAGACGAGGCTCGCCCCGGCCGCAGCGCAGGACGAGTCCCGGTCCGTGCCGTCAGCCCCGGCGGGCCCGCGCCACCCCCGCGGCCCGGCGCTCACCTCGGGGCAGGCTCACTCGGTGCGTGCTGGCCACGGCCTCCCAGTGCGCGAACAGCCGGCCCTGCTCCTCCTGGTCGTCCTCGCTGTCGCCGCCGTCCTCGGGCTCCTCGCCCAGCCCCTCCAGGTCCTCCAGCGTGATCCGCGCCATCGCGTCCGCCGGGAACGGCCCGCCAGCGGCACCGCCCCGCACGCCGCGGCGGCAGCGCCCCCTGGCGCGCCGGCGGACCGAGCGCCCACCGTCGCCGCTGTCCCCCCGCCAGGCGGCGCCCGCTCCCCGCCCCTCTCACCCCCCCTCAGGCCGAGCCGCGGTCGCTTCTAGGTTCGGTTTTATTTAATAAAATAAAGTACAACGATCACCCGGCGGGGGACCGGCGTCCGGGGGCACGGGACACTCCTGCCACTGCCCCGGCCGAGGGATAGCCCGCCCTCCCTCCCCGGGCTGGCAATTCTACCTGGCGAGCGTGTGCGACCGGTACCGAGCGAGCCGCCATCGGGGCTGCTGAGCCCAATGTGCGGCAGAGGAGCATGCGGGCGGGCTGCGGTGCCCAAACTAGTAGCTAGGGACTCCCGGGGGAGGCCGGGCTGGGCAGGCAGACGGTGGCACGAGAGCCGGTGATGGGGAAAACAGAGCAGGTGGTGTGGGGAGGTGCCGGGTGCTGCCCCTGCAGCGGGAAGCCAGGGTGCCCAGCAGCAGGACAGCCAGAATCAGTTGGAGGAGAGCAAGGAGCTGTGGGAGGACAGGTCCATGCTGCTGGCGCTGAGGCCTCTGCTCTCCGCACGGAGGCCTTGGGTGCCCTAGAAAAAATAGTGCCGGTGAGGTATTTGCAGTCCACCCCCACGCCCCAAAGTTGCTACCCCAACTCCAGCACCCCTTGCCTCACAAGCCAGAGATGCCCTGGTGCTGCTGTCAGACTCATTAGGTGCTGCCTCTGCTCTCATTCTGTGGCTGGAGGGGTTGCTGAGCAGGCAGGGAGGTGGGTACTTGGAGGCAAGACCTTCAGGTTTGGATCTATGACCTTGGAAGAGGTCTGCAGCTGCCCAGGGGTGCCGTGGGAGCACCGGCCTAGGCAGAGTGGCTCCAACACCGCACAGCCTCACAGTGAACACACTGGGAGGTCTCAGGCACTGCCCCTGTGGCCCACTCTTATGCCCCTGACCAGCTGTGACATAGGCCACAAGGCCCTACCCCAATGCCCACTCCTGTACCAGCCCCTCCACCCACCCTGTGCTTACCTCGAATGAAGCATCGCTAGACTTGTGCAAGTAATTTAATGATGCAGCTCGTTTCATGCTACAAGAAAGCAGAGGAGAGCAGGTTTGACCACGCTGTGTCTGATCGAATCCAGACCCACAAGTTGGCAGGGCCCCCACCTGCCCTGTACCCAGCCTGATCCTTGTTACCTACCTGGTGTTCCTGGGCTCCAGGGGACCATTGCCCTGCAGTTTCTTGACCAACATCTCACTGCTCCTCCGTATCACATCTCGGATTTTCCCCAGGGAGCTGCTGCGCTGCAGAGTGCCACTGCCATCCTGGACACAGAGACACAAGCCAGGATGATGGCTGAGTGGCACTGATAAGGCTCTGGCATGCTGCTGATGAGTGGCTGGAATTGGCTCCAAACATCCTCTTGTCTGCCTGCAACTGAGGATTTAGCCCTGGCCCAAAGCAGGCTTAGTGCTGACTACATGGTTGCCCCCTCACCTTGGTCCTTCACGTGACATGATGACCATGGAGTCAGGGACCCCCTTCTACCATTGCCTGGCTCATCCAAACTGATGAGCCTACCTGATGCAAGCCCAACACCCAGACAGGCTGCTGACTTGCCCCAGGACACCAGCACAAATGGCACGGGCATCCCCACATCCCTGCTCAAACATGACATAGCTTCATCACCTGCAACAGCTCAGGCAGCAGCTGTCAAGGAGGTACCACTGCCCAGAGGAGCAACAAGCCCTGATGAGAGTTCCAAGCTTAGGGATACTTTTGTTCAGGCCAGGACTCTCTCCTCACCTGCTGCTGGCTGGAGACTATGCTCTCCCACCCCTTGCCCTTCTTTACCACATCATTACCAGTCCTCCTCTCCATCCAGCACTCATCCCGATGCACACCCTAGTCCTGCAGGCTCACTCACATCAGATAAGCACATTCTACAAGCACACACAACCTTCTCCCACCTCTAACAGCCCCAAGACAATTAGCTTTGAGCCTCCTGAGCAATTCAGGCAGCTCCACTGGGGACACATGGCTGCTGTGTTGCCAAGACTCCTATGCCCCCCACCTTTAGCTGTGTCCAGCCACACTAGCTGCCCCAGGGGTGGAACTTCGCAGGGCTTTATTTATGTCTGCCTGCTTGTTCTGAAGACCAAAACCAGCCAGAAATCTTGTTCCCCAGCCTGTTTCCTCCCATGTGCCTCCAGAAGTCCCCACTACTCAGAAAGGCACTTTCAGCCCTTGGCAGGCTCAAGCCCACCTCCTGCACCACATGCATGCGAGACACAGGTTGCCTGAATGACACATCATACCACTGTGTCATTACGGCACCAAGCTCTTCCTTTGTGGCCCAGCCTGCTTGTTACATAAGGTTATGGCACGGCTGCTGATGTGGAATTACTTTTGCTCTGATGGCCTGGTAACAGCACTCTTCCCTCCTCCCGATTCCAATGGCCCCTGGCACACACGAGCGGCACACACGGGCAGTAAAAACTGAGATAAGGTGATGGCAAAAGCCCTTTGCTCTTTAGGATGTGGGGGAGTCCCTCTGAATGACCAAAATGTATTGTGGCTCAGACTAGCAGCAATTAATTACCCCAGGACTATCCATGCAGTTCTGCAGGTAAGCAGGGTCTCTGCCTTAGAGGCCAGTCAGCCCCTTGTGCTGACCACTACAGGTTGTGGTCCTAGGGAAGCCTTTTCCAGCACATCTCTGCCCTGATTAACCAAAGCTGATTCAGCTCTAGACTCCTTTCTAACAGCTGACCAGGATTTTTCTTACCAGCAACCCTTTCTCATGGTATTCATTTCATCCCTTCTTGGATAAGCTAAGTGCACTTTCTCATTGGAATGAGGGGTTTCCAAGTTGGGAGCCATGTGTTGCTGCTGCAAGGGACTCACTCAGCAGAAATGCAGATCACCAAAAGTAGTAAACAATTCACTCCTCCATAAAGCATCCTGGGCAGGTTTTGGAGGAGATGGACATCAAGTGTGTGGCATTAGCAAAGATGGAGTAGGGTGTTTTTTGCCTCCCCACCAGATTTGCACTGGTTACAACTCTTCCTGCCATGCCAGACACTGTTCTTTTCCCAGGGCACACAAACCAGTGGTGGAAGAGGGCACAGAGCTTGGGCACGGGAGCAGGACCATAGTACAAGGGCAGCAGGATCTGGCCAGGAAGTATGCTCTTGTGTCAGGGCTGGAGAGGATGGAGCCACATTTTCCCAGCTGCAGTGATGCAGACTGACTGCAGACCAACACCAGAACCAAATGCTGCTGCATGCTGGGTTAAAAATAGCCTCTCTTCTATCCCCACTCCCTTTTCTGCAGGGTTATTTTTAACCCAGAACATTTATGGGGTTTGGTTTGCCGCAGAGACCCCACCCCATTGCACCCACCAGGATGAGAGCATTCAAAGAAAAAGCAGCAGCTCCACCACTGAGCTGCACTGCCCTGCATGCTCCTACCCTGCCTAACACACAGAAGCAGCAGACTTAGGCAGGATTTGGCAGCATGTGGAGCTCACTCAGAACTGCGAGACACAATGGGGTATTTCTTTGGCTAAACAGAAACGCTTCTTGGGGAAGCTTAGATCCCCCAGGGCAGCCTTGCCACACATGGGTAACCTGAGAACTGAGGTTAGCAGCAACCCCAGACTGGAGGACAGGGAGAAGCACAGTGGAGCTGGGTCCTTCATCTCCAATTCTCAGCCTAAGAGAGGTGCCCTGAGGACAGCACATGCCCCTGAACACACACAGACAGACACCAAGCATCCCCACACCTGCTGCAGCAGCATTTGCACCCACCACCCCAAGACTGACCGACGCTGGCCTACAGAGCATGGAAAGAAGCACAGGGCAGCAATTTGGGTCTGTCTACCTTTAATTAGAGGTATGGTTGTTACAGCACCAGGTCCAGGACATGGCAAAGCACAGGGTCAGGTGGCCCCGAGGTCCAAATGCACCCTGCCCTGGGGACTCACAACTCTCCAGGAGCATGGAGCAGCACTAGGAGAGGCAGGAAAGGCACAGCCCTGGAGCACTTGGCCTTGGACTCCACAGCCCATGGTCCAGAGGACAAGCTTCCTTTCAGCAAGCATAAACTCCCAGAGGAGCAGCATGCATGTACCCCAAGGCCTCTGCACCACCACAGGAAAGCCAGGCCCAGACAGACACAGGCACATTTAGCATCATAACCTGCCAGAAGACTAGCATGAGAGAAACAATCTAGCTAAAAAAATAAGGGAGAGTCCTGCGCTGGCCTCTGGGCTCTATCCTGCTGGCTGCAGCCTCCTTAGCTTTCTTCCCAGGTAGGAGGGCCAGAGAGGTTCACTTCCCACAGGAGGCAGGATGATTGTGTAAACCCAAGGGTGTGAGACTCAGAACAGTGGTAGTCTGGCTCTAGGAAACATTTCCTTTCCCAGTAGTGACCAGCAGCACCAGACCCTGTGAAGGCCTGAAGTACCAATCAGAGGCACTGAGCCACCCCCACAGACCCTCAGGGTCAGTACTGTGTGCCTAGCAGGTAACTGGGTTACAGATTTTCCACCCACTTGGCTAGGGACAGACAGACTGCAGTCAGCCCTAGGGACCTGTGAGCAATACAGCCCCTTCCCTTCCCCTATGGCAACCTCTCTCCAGCCATCCCATCCGCTCCCACATGCTCAGAGCATCCCCTGCCCCAGCTCCTCCCTTCCTCACATCCTTCTCTGCATCTCCTTTTTCTCCCAACCGTTCTGCTCCAAACCAGTCCATTCCCCATCTGAGCCACTTCTAATGGCCTGGGGTCTGACCCCTTGCAGAAAAGTTCTTTCCTCCTACCCTTCCTCTGCCTCCAAGAAACAGCAAACAACTTCAGCCCTGCTTCTCCCACCAGCCACACCTAGGAACCCCATAGCAATGGGGAGCTGATTCACCCCTTAATGCCATCAGGTGAGGAACTTGGATACAGCATCCAGT